GTAGAAATTTGCCCAGTCTGGTAGAAACTTGCCAAATCGGGTCATCCGAATTAATTCACATGATCCAATATTTGTCTCAGTTCATTTATGTCAGAAGGATTTTACATTTTTCTAATAGTGAGAACTTTACTGGCATTCGGCTTAATCCAGCTCCGCTAATAATGTGATATTAAGTAACACAGTTCTGTTTTGCCAAAGTGACATTTATCTTTGTGCAGCTTAAAGGACCACTATAGTGCCAGGAAAACATACTTGTTTTCCTGGCACTATAGTGCCCTGAGGGTGCCCCCACCCTCAGGGACCCCCTCCCGCCGGGCTCTGGAAAGGGGAAAGGGGTTAAAACTTACCTTTTTCCAGCGCTGGGCGGAGAGCTCTCCTCCTCCGATCCTCCTTCTCTCCTCCCCGTCGGCTGAATGCGTACGCGCGGCAAGAGCTGCGCGCGCATTCAGCCGGTCACATAGGAAAGCATTCATAATGCTTTCCTATGGACGCTGGTGTGCTCTCACTGTGAAAATCACAGTGAGTAGCACGCAAGCGCCTCTAGTGGCTGTCAATGAGACAGCCACTAGAGGATTAGGGGGAAGGCTTAACCCATTCATAAACATAACAGTTTCTCTGAAACTGCTATGTTTATGAAAAAGTGGGTTAACCCTAGCTGGACCTGGCACCCAGACCACTTCATTAAGCTGAAGTGGTCTGGGTGCCTAGAGTGGTCCTTTAAGTCCAGACTCTCGTACAGTCTTCAGTAAAGGATGCAGCTGCTGATCATGCTCTTCTTAACTGGACCTGTACACAAGGATGTTGTTTACAACCGCTACAGTGTTCTGTACACACCGCACTTAAATACTAGGTCCTGGTGCTTCCAAACCTGGGGCTGGCTACCCCTATTCCAGTGGTGCAAGAAAAATATGGTCCAGGCACTCAGGATCATCTGCAGCAGTTTTATTGGAAAACAGAATCAGAGTGCAACGTTTCAATCTCCAATGAAATATTTTCCTTATTATTATACATGGGAACATTATGTTCCCACCCATCTACTTTGAGAGTTGTTAAGCTAGTTACATAGACTGCCTTATGAAGGGGGGTTGGACCTATGCAAATTTCAGAGTTCTATTTTCTATCCTTTCTGTTAAGAGGCTACAGGATAACCCATAAATAAATGTAAACAACACCAACAGTGGAGTGCAAAAGCAAGGCTATCTTACCCTTATAGTCACAATCATACATGAAATGTAGAGAGCAATATATGTAAACAAACATTAAACAACTGTATGTAGTGCAGATGGTCATGATCCACAAGGAAGGTAAAGTGCAGATAACTAGGAGCACTTACATGAAATAGAGCCTTATGATTTTAAGGCTAAATATATGCACAGGCTTGTCTTTTGAAGGTAGCAACACACCGTTCTTCCTATAGATAATATCACTTGAGATAAGGAGAAGACATGATACAATAATAATGTAGATTGTACAGCCAAACTTAGATTTAAAAAGAATACAGAATTTGCTCACCTTGTTTAGAGGCAAATGGTCCCTGACTCTAGGTATCAAAAGCTTGGTGCCACTTATGGGATGACACTACCCACAACTGCATACAGGAAAAAAATTCAGGTTAATGTAAAATATAGTATAGAAATATGTGTAAAATACATTTTAGTACTCTATAGATATATAAAATAATAAAAGTGCAGTAGAACAAATCTATACAATTAATATGTGCTAAAACGTGTATCGTAGTACCAGAAGTGATGTTGCAGGACTTGCGGTTCATCACTTCTGTTCCGTCATTCGTCAAAGAATGTGCATTCAGTATTGGTGCGGACATAAGATGCCCAATTCTCCATATTGGAGTTGTGCAAACTGCATGAAATGTATATACAGAAGAGGGGAAGATAGGCAAATAATTTTATTAATAAAAAAAAAGGCACGTTTTAAGAAATTTATGGTACTGTCAGTGTCTTCATAGGGGTTCTAAAACAGGAGAGAGAAAATAAAAACTGTAATAGAAGTAGTAAAAAATAGTGAAAAATAATAAAAATAAATAGTAGAAAAAGGAATAAAATTATATCCATATAGGAAAGTAAAATAGAAAGACTGCAAATAGTAAATAAAAGGTAATTATATATATATATATATATATATATATATATATATATATATATATATATATATATATATATATATATATATATATATATATATATATATGACTACAGAAGTGAAAATTGTATTTATAATATATGGACCAATACACAAGATCCAGGGCACTCTCTCATCTACTAAACAGCAACTTCAAAGCTCACAGATTCATTTTATATGGACCAGATATAAGTAAAGAAAAGGGTTGAAACCCTCTAAAATACATAGAGTGGCCATGGTTTCCACTGTACACATTATAAATTACTCTAAAAAACATGTACAAAGTGTTAAAATTATATTAAAAGTTAGGGTCCTTATTTGATAGAATAATACATATAAATAAATTAAAATACAATTGGTGCTATAGAAAGCTTTAATAGTTTATAAAATGGCCTGGGGTTGTAAACAATCTAGGGTGAATGTCCATTTCATTTATCTTTTTGCCAGTTTTTTAACTAGGTCAACCCCTCTCCACTCTCCCGTCACCTTTTGTGGATAACTGTTATGTGTAGTTCTAAAGTGTAGGGACACCCCAGGTAGGTAGGATTAGTCTGATATGCAAATATAATGTGTCTCTGCAATGGCACAAGTGAACAAAACATGTTTGAGACCAAAGTATGGACAAATCTAAGAGCAAACGTTTTTGTTGAATTTCTTACGGTTTTTAAATTCTCTGTTTATGAATGTGTTTCACAATCTTTTCCTGCTTGCAAAATAGTACTTTGTATACAAAAAAATATTGTGATGTCCAATGTAATTTTGAATAAAATAGCTTTAGTCCAGTATTTTGTTTGATGTATAATCACATCTCATTCATCAACACAATTAGAAGCAGTTATTTTACTGTATATATTGGTGCCAAAGGTCATAGATTATATTTCAATGTTTTACTTTCTTGTTGTAACTGGATTTATATTCAGAAGAAAGCAAAACCAATATTTATGAAAGGCAACAAAGACTAGCTGTTATTATTGACGAAAAAAAAGATATGCGTTCTGTCACGGTAGGTGGTTAATTGCAGGTCTTGTACAGTGATAATGGGAAAGAGAACGATAGATATACAGAGATCCAATAGCAATTAGTTTGTCTTCCCTTTTTTTATTGTTCAACAAAATCTGAAAAAGACTAGGGTACTACATAACAAAACAAAAGTTAAAAAAATATATATTTTTACAAAGACATGCACTTTAGAAAATAAACTATAAAATATATGCTTAATATGCATAAATATTATATCTTAGGTCTCAGATATGCAAGTTCTTTCTCCCTAGGAGAAAATTACTATGTCAAGAAAATCTTAATATAGATTTTTGGCTTGATTTGCAGCATTCATTTTTGCATTCCCCGGGGGAATATTTAATGATTAAATCATAATATCTGACATTTTTTTTCTGCACCGCTATATTTATGCATTGTTTATTGTTAGTGTTGTACATCAGATATGCCTAACTATACTATTTTGTAACATTTTCTGCCAAGGTGTACTTAAATTGCTTTGTTTTTTGGGTGTTTTGTGTTTGTTTTTTACATTTTTTTTATTTTCATAGTGAAAAATATTCCACTGTGAAAGTTCATTTGGTCCCAATACACTCAGAAATGATCTTACAATGAGCAGAGATTTATTGCTTCCGATGTAATTTTAACAAAATGCTTGTGTCTAATTTATAAAATAACTTATTTTTGACTAGGACCTACCATCAGGGTGCACAGGACATGACTCCACCTCTAACCAGTATCATGAGATGAAAAGAAAAAGCATTCTGGCACATCGTTAGCAACTTGTGAATTTGGGTTAAAATGTTTCAAAGATTCTTCCAATTTTTTAGGGTAATCAGCAAGTCATCTAAATTTCTATACAACAAATTGCCATATGACCAAATCATAAAACAAACAAAATGAATAAGCTATTTGCATTTCTACCCATGGCTCCAGTAAAAAAAAAAGAGATGATTGATGAAAAAAAAAAAGATAATTGATGTTTACGGGACAGCCAGTAATTGCTAAATTATTTTACATATCAAGTGAGAAGTGACCAAAAGATGAAAAATGAGGAGCAGAAAAATAAATACATCTATATTTTTTTAAATTTAATAAAAACATTTTTTTATTGCTCCTCATCTTTTCCCCTCTACTGAGCACTTAATCTGTGAAACAAATGGCACTAAAATGATAGTGTCAGTGTACTGTAAAATATATACATAAAATTTATACAATGTATGGATTTGCAGGACACTGATAAGCGTATTTTTTGTTTGTCCAAAACAAAAACAAGGATGAAATTCATTCAAACCATATTTATGCTATTAATATGTTCCATTGCTCTTATTTTAAGGGCTCTTTTGGTGCGGCCCACGTATTGCTTGCCATATGGACACTGCAGTATATACACGACATAGTCCGTGAGGCAACCAATACTACCCTTGATAGGAAAAATCTCACCCGTTGCTTCACTGGTGAAATTGGAAGTTTTACCCAAAGTTGTTGTTGAGCACGCTTTGCATTTGTTACACCTTTTAAAACCTTTCCCTCCTTGGTTGAATTTTTGCTTTTGTTTAATGGCATAACTTGGAGCCAGAAAGTTCTTAAAATTTAAATTTTTCTTATAAATTAATGTTGGTTGTCTTGGCGGTGTTTTTCCTAATATTGGGTCCTCCAATAATATTGGCCAATATTTTTGTAAACTTTTTTTACTCTTCCAATGGTCTGTATTAAATTGTGTAACAAATACACATCGGAATTGATCGCCTGTTTTTTTGC